ATTCACATGATGAATTTGCGTCTAACCGATTACTCTCCCCTTCAACTGATTACTTTTTCACACTGATTTTTAGTATCTATATGCGATATATCCCATCAAGTAATTATCTAAGTGTACAATATTGGTAAATGAAGAAAAATATCAATTTTTATTTTTTTTCAATGAAGTTAATGCCATTCCCATGTGCTGCTACTGTGTGAGTGACATTAACTCTGGTAAAAGAAATTTGCTGCTGTATAATTGTTTATATATAACACATATAGGCATTATTTGAAAAATCAAGTTTATCAAAAATCAAAACTTGTTCCCATTTGCATACTCTAATTAATGTGTATATATTTAAAATAATTTGCATGTAGGCATTATTTTATGAAAATACTGTAGTAAATAAGTAACTAATAAAATTTATATCAAAAATATTACTGAATAAATATAACATTATTCATAACTTATAAATTATAAATACTGTAATAAACATTATAGTAATAGTATTTGTCATGGCTGATGCTGAATTTGGCTAATGCTGAATATCATGTGAAAATTTGGGCCAGAAATTACAGATCATATGTCAATCATAAAATTTCAAAACAAACATCTCTTTGTCAAAAATCGCAAAAACTTTATGAAAAATAGCACTTTGTATATTAACAAAAAGTTTTCCTTGAGTGATTTTACTGTATAATCTTCTAAGCTTTAATATTAATATAGACAATAATCCTAACACAAATGAACTTGAAGAACTTTGTCATTGGTTAGAGTTTGTTTTGATTTTTCTCTGATTGATATGCGATCTGCAATTTTTGGCTCAAATTTTCACGTAATATTCAACATCAGCCAAATTCAGCATCAGCTGTGTCAGTAATTATGCCTTGTAATGTGGATATTATTGTAAGAGTAAAGGTCACTTTATTATCCAATAATGTTTTGTCAAACTAAAATTATGCACCACAATATAGCAAGTATGAATTATATTACCTATCACATGTCTGGTTAAAATAAAGTAAATTACAACATAAATTTTTATTTGTCCTTCTATGAAAACCTAGTTTAGCTTTTAGCAAAGATAATTAATGTCAAAAAAATTAAATGCCAAAATATAAAAACTGGCAAAAGGTGATAAAACTGATGAAACTGGCAAAACTAATAATATGTAGTAAAACTAGTAGAAAATGATAATTCTAATAAAAAAGAAAAGAATAGAAAGTAATTAAAGGAAGTTAAAACACTTTTATATAAATATCAATCTTTTTGTTTCTATATATATATTTAATATTGTGTATTATTTATATCACTAATTTACCAACCTATTGCTTTACTAATAGTTAATTAGATACATAGAGAACCAGTTTAATAAAGGTTAGACCAAACATACATGGCAGACTATAAAACCTTTCACAGCTGTGAAAACCGAGTATAAAATGGTGAGTGCCTCTACAAAAGATATCTTATCCAAATTATCATCAACATCACTAGAATGTTATGATTTGGATATATGTTACAATAGATATCTTAATCACTATCAATTACTTTTATTAAGAGAACCATAAACTATTTATTTATTTAGACAACACTTAACACAAAACAATACTAAGCATCTTGTATATTACCTCTTTATTACAGTTAATAGTGACAAAACTGAAGCTCATGTATACTTACCTAATAATTCTAATATACTACCAAACCATCATATTTTTTCTATAATATATGACTCAAATGATATTTAAACCAAACTTACCAATTATACCACCTATTTTCTCTACTTTATCTACTTCAAAACATCAAAATAAGAACCTCTCAATCTGTCTATCTGTATATATAACATCCATAGTTATAACACAGATCTTAAGCAACAAGTCTGAAAAAATTACTGTTCCATTAACAACTTGCACATTATAAGTTTAACTAAAACTAAAATTTCATAGAAAAATGCTCGCACCAAACTTCAAAAATCAAAAAATTTTATCTATTGTTAATTTTAATAGGCTGTAAAATTCACAGCCCTGCATCTGACCAATCAAAATTGCAGAATTAGCATGTTCTGCAAATTTTTGTATAACAAAAATAAAATTTTTTTATAAAAAAATCAAAAAATTCTTATAATACAAAATCTAACTTTTTTTTTTTTATTTTAAATTTGCTGTATACAGAATAAGATTAGTTAAAGATTGTATCAAGATGATATTAATTTAAACTATCTATTATATCTTGTATAACCACCTAAGTATAGCAAATCATCCCTTAATTTTCTATTTAAAAACTAATTTAAGTTGAACTACCATTAGTTATAGGAGGGGAAAGAGAAGGCCCAGCAAAATCTAACTTAAAAAACTACCTTTGGTGTTATAAATAAAAAAATTCTTGCTAAATTTACTTTAAAGGTAGGGTGGACTATCTTCATTTTTAATAGTAATTACTTGACAAATATAGTAATAATTGATTTTCATCTATTGTTACTATTTTGATTTGCCTAAGTTGCACAAAATTTGCCTAAGTTACACAATATAAATAACATATAATCATCACCTGATTTCAATTGAATATTATTGTAAAAAAATTTAGTAACGTGATTACTATTAGAAATATAGATCCTTCACCTACTCTTAAAGTTCACTATTTATTATAACCCTAACTTAACTCTAATTTAAAATAGAAAACTTCTTTGAATCAGTATTCTTCATTTATAAAAACCTTAAATTTGATTAACTAATGCAGATCTGTAAATTTCACAGGCTGTAGTAATTTTCTTTTTAGTTATTGTAAAAATTTTTTAAATACAAATCATCAGTGTAATCATCACTACCTCTATTTTTAGAGTTAGGGTATAATTTTAAAATAAAACAGAAGTCAAATAAAAAGGTTCAGATTTTACTTAGAGTTAAGTTTTTGGGTGTTCTGAGCATTTTTGCTTAGTACCTCTGACGTAAGTTATCTAGTTGGTTTTTGAGATATAGTGCTCTAGTGATGATCACCATCGGTTTTAGCTAACAAAGATTCTTTTAAAATAGCATTTTTTGTTTTATTTTCACATTATATAAACTTAATTAATATTAAATTATAAATATACCAATTGTTAGAATTATAAAATCACAAATCTAATTACCATTAAAATATAAAATCACAAATCGAATTACTATCAAAATTATAGCACGGCCACTATTGATCATGAGCATTACACCGTTTATGTTATTAAATTACTTTCTTTTTATTATGTCATTCATGCTTGTTATTTTGTATGGTTTACATCATCCATACTTATATCATTTTGCTCTATATGAATTAAAGAAGTTTAAAAAAAATATAAACAGTATAATTTATGATCAATGACTGCCATACTATAATACCAATATAGCATGATAATTCTGAGATACATTACATTGATACAGCGATAATTTTTTTGATTATTCAGAAAATGCTGCTTTGCGGCATTCTCTGATCAAAAAAATTATCACCATATCAATATAATGTTATCTTATATTATCATACTATATTATATAAATATATTACTAATGATAATTAATGATTATTGGTATATAACAATTATAATCACTATCAATTAATAACAATTTATAAAATTCAACAGATTTTTTTTTAAAGTTTAACATTAATTTTCTTGATAACTATCAATCCAAATTGACTCAAATTTTACCACAAATTGTAGTAAACTTTTAACCAATTTGAATTAATAGTTCTTGAGAAATCATTTGCTAATAATAGTTAATTTTTTTAAAAAAATCAACTAAGAAGCAAAGATAAATTGATTTTATGATTTTTAATGTTCTTTTGAAAGTAAATATTCTCCAAATATTGTGTTGTGATGACATATTATAATTGCAGATACTTACATTACGGTTTATGTCAATACTACAAAATTCGCAACTTTATCAGCAACTTTTGTAGTGAAAGTTGTCTGCACCTCTACGTAGAAAGATAATCAGATGCAATATCGGACACAATGTGGTTGAGTTTTAAACATTTAAACTACACAATTTTTAATATTTTATTTCTTACAGGCTAAATTTTTCAGATAAAAATTTAATAAGCATTATTTAGAAAAATCGGACTTGGGCTTTTAAGTTTATAACACAACAAACTTAGCCTCAAAGATTAATATTTTAATAATAATTTTTAAGGCTGAGTTTACTACTTAATACTTTATAAACTCAAAAACTCTAGTCTCAATTGAAATAACATTGTTTTGGCTATTTCGAATCCTTATATTCTTAACATAAATGTGAGGATGACTGAAAGAACAACTACAATATCAAATGAATCATCTGGTATAAAGCTTGATCCAACAGAGAAACGAATTTTAGAGGATCAGATTAGAGTTATTAAAAGAAAAGAATCATATATTACTTTATATAGATTTTCTACAAAACTTGACTGGATAATAATGTTATTTGGGATAGTATTTTCAACGGTCGCAGGAACTGCCATGGTATGTTTATCATAATATTTCCCTTTTTGCAGGATTCATATTTCACAAATTTTCAATTTATATAAATTTAACAGGCTTTAAGATCAATCCTTTATGGAAAAATGACCGATTATTATATTCGTTTTCAAACTTACACGATTAGCACTAATGAGTTTTCCGAAGAAATAAATCACCTTTTATTGGCTTTTATATCCCTTGCAATTATCACTTTTGTTGCTACGTATATATCTATAACTGCTTGGGTATATACTGGTGAAAGGTTTTTTTTATATAATATTAACATCAAGTTCGATCGTTCAAGAGGATATTAATCTCATCACGTGGTTGTTACTTCAGAATCGCACGACAAATCCGTGAACGATATTTTCGCGCAATTCTCAGACAAAATATGGCTTACTTTGACGAATATGGCTCAGGTGACGTTATTACTCGCATTACTTCTGATATACATTTGATACAAGATGGTATAAGTGAAAAAGCTTCTATCATTATTCTAGTAAGTTCATGCACATATAAAGCGTTTGATTTATTTTTATTTAATTGTTCTTTTTACGATCATTTTTATATATTGTTTCATCATGATTACTCTTTCAGTATATTACAAATTTCATTGCATCATTCATTATCGCACTTATAATAAGTTGGAAAATGACACTTGCGACAAGCATCATTATCCCTATTCTTATTATCAATAGTACTTTAATGAATAAATATAGTACTATTTTTACAAAAAAGATTTTATATTTTTATTCTCGTGCTGGAACAATCGCCAAAGAAGCTATTTCAACCATCAGAGTTGCAGTGGCCTTTGGTGCTCAAAAGAAACTCTCAAACCTTTATGATGCTTACTTGGGTAATTCAAAAATAGAAGGGTTTAAAAAAACTTTATTAGTTGGTTTTTCTCTTGGCATAATGTTTGCTGGCGTTCCTGCATTTAATGCTTTGGTCGTCTGGGTTGGTTCAACAATGATTATTAATAATGAAATATCTCCCGGACAGGTACGTGTACCATTTTCCATTTTTTTTTCTTCTGATATTAATTTATTTAAAGTAACTATTTTCCTTTTCTTTAAAGGTCATTGGTGTATACTCTTTGATTGTAGGTGGCTATATGAGTATTTCTAATTTTTTTGACTATATTCAGGCTCTTAGTCTTGCTACTGGCGCTAGTTCAAAAATATTTGAAACCATTGATCGTGTTCCCTCGATTGATATCGCTTCTGATACCGGTGATAAGCCCGAAAACGTTATGGGTCATATTCAATTTAAAAATATAAATTTCATTTATCCGACTCGCCCTGATGTTAAAATTTTAAATGATATATCATTAGATATTGAACCTGATTCTAATGTTGCTCTTGTTGGTTCTTCAGGTTCCGGTAAAAGTACGATCGTATCTCTAATACTTCGTTTCTATGATCCTCTCTCTGGTGGTATATTTCTTGACGGACGTAATATCAAATCTCTTAACTTAACTTGGCTTAGAAGACAAATAAGCCTTGTAAGTCAAGAACCTGTACTTTTTAAAACTACTATAGCTGAAAATGTATCTTATGGATTGGTTGGTTCTGTTTATGAAAATTTACCCGATAACGAAAAACGTGAAAAGATTGAAAATGCTTGTAAGATAGCTAATGCTCACGATTTTATTATGGATCTTCCTGATAAATATGAAACTATGGTTGGTGAACGTGGAATCTTATTATCTGGCGGACAAAAGCAACGTATCGCGATTGCTCGTGCTGTTATTAAAGATCCAAAAATTTTATTACTTGACGAAGCTACTAGTGCTCTTGATTCACAAAGTGAGAGTATAGTCCAAAATGCGTTAGACAAAGCCTCAAAGGGTCGCACAACAATAGTTATTGCTCATCGTTTATCCACTATTCGCAATGCGGCAAAAATTATTGTGATGAATAAAGGTGTTATTGTGGAATCAGGTACACACAGAGAGCTCATAGATAAAAAAGGTTTTTATTTTAAACTTGTCGAAACTCAAGACGTAAAGGCTGAAGAAAACTTTAATATAACTCCACCGAAAGATGAAGCCGCTGCATCATTCACTATCAAGGGTTATGACAACCAAATTGCTGGTGACTCTTCTCGTTCTCTTTTGGTTAAGCAAAAAGCTGATGTAGAAATGGGATTAAAACATAATGACCATAACTACACTGCTTGGGAATTGACCAAGAAAGTAGCAATCTTCAATAGACCTGAATGTCTTATGCTTTCCATAGGTATAATATCATCAATCATTCATGGTAGGTGAAATAGTTCAGTTACTATAATAACCCTTTATAAAACAAAATAATAATAATAATAATGTTGTGAACCATTTAATTTTAGGTGCCATTTTCTCAATTTTTGCTATTATCTTTGCTAATGTTATTCAAGCATTCTCAAAAACTGGAGATACTTTACGTAATGAAGCAACATTCTGGGCTTTTATGCTTTTTATATTTTCTGGAGTGACGTTTTTTGTGAGTTTCCTCCAAAATGTTGCCCTTGGATTTTCGAGCGAAAAGCTTTCCGAAAGAATTCGATCCATGTCTTTCGCTTCTATTTTACGACAGGATATTCCATTCTTTGATGAAGAAGATCATAGTGTGGGCATTTTGACTAGTCATTTATCATTAGATGTAACTCAAATTAGTAGTTTGACTGGAGTTTCACTTGGAAATTTGTTACAAATAACGGCTATGATCTTTTCTTCTGGAATAGTGTCTCTTATAGTTGGTTGGAAGCTCACTTTGGTCTGTTTATGTGCTATACCTTTAATGATTGGATCTGGCTCACTACGTATAAAAATGTTAAATAGTTTCCATCAAAAAACCAAAAAAGCTTACGAACATTCAGCGCAAATAGCTTGTGAAGGCGCTGCTAATATTCGAACGGTCGCTGCTCTCACTCGTGAAAATCATTTATGGGAAATATATCACCATTTACTGGACGAACCCACGCGTCAAGCATTTAAAAATGCTTACTTGGCCTCCATTCCGTTTGCTTTTGCAAACTGTCTCGCCTTTTTATTAAATGCTTTAGCATTTTGGTATGGTAGTAAATTGTTTATAGATAATGAATATGATATTAAAAAAGTGTATACGATTTATGTAGCAATTGTAGTTGGGTCATCGGTTACTGGTCGTTTCTTTGCTTATGCTCCAGATATAGCTAAAGCCAAAGCTGCATCTGCTTCAATAGTATCATTATTAGAACGTGTTCCTAAAATTGATATATGGCAAAATGGTGAAACAATTAAAACTGTAAAAGGTCACCTTAAATTCTCCAACGTTCATTTCTATTATCCGACTCGACTTGACGTTCCGGTTCTCCAAGGTCTAAATTTAAAAATCAAGCCTGGTCAATATGCGGCATTAGTTGGCTCGTCTGGATGTGGTAAAAGTACCATAATAAGTCTTATTGAAAGGTTTTATGAAGTGACTGATGGTACAATTACAATTGATGAAATGAATATTGCCAAAATGGATGTGAACAATCTTAGAGAGCACATTGCTCTTGTAAGTCAAGAACCATCATTGTATGATATGACTATAAAGGAAAACCTTCTTTTGGGTTGCCTACCTGGACAAGATATTACTCAAAATGATTTAGAAAATGTATGCAGAGAAGCAAATATTCATGAATTTATTATTGAGTTACCTAATGGTTATGATACACGCGTTGGTGCAAAAGGAGTACAACTTTCTGGTTATTGTCTTAAATATTGCTTAGCACAAAAATTTTTTTTTTGAGGAGTTCTATATAACATTACTAATCCATTGTTCTTAGGCGGTCAAAAGCAACGAATTGCTATTGCCAGAGCACTTATTCGAAATCCCAAAATTTTACTACTCGATGAAGCAACATCAGCTCTAGATTCAGAATCCGAAAAAGTTGTACAAAAGGCTCTTGATTCTGCCGCTCATGGGAGAACAACCTTAGCAATTGCACATAGATTATCAACAATTCAACACGCTGATATTATATTTGTTTTAAAAGATGGTAAAATTCATGAACAAGGCACACATCAAGAATTATTAAGACTACGGGGGGTTTACTATATGATGATACAAAAGCAACACCTGGGAGAATCAAATTTATAAAGTTTATACTGTACTATTATAATTCAAAACAATTTCACTTACCCTATGTGTATGGAAAGTCTGATTTAAATTTGCATTTTATTATTTAATTGGAGATTGGAATCGTTCAATAGTTGACCGATTAATCTATCCCTATGAAAAATAGTTACGAAATAATAAATTACAGATAAGGATTAATATAGATCCCGCAGGGAGGCAGTATTCTTAGAAAATTAACTAAAATTTAAAAAATCTAAATATTTAAGAAAAATTAAAGATGTTAATAAAAATTTTTTGCATTTATGTGAAATTTCATGCTGAACATTTTACTTGGATGGCTGTTTTAGTAAAATTGTGAGATATTTTCAAAAAGAAAATAACTAATTGTACACGGTACTGTTAACCTAGGTAATTTAACATCATGTGATATTAGGCAGAATGTAACACCGAGTACTAAATAGTACTGAAAAGTACTAACTATCGCTAAAGTAATATAGATAGGACCAGTAGTTCTAAAGTACCTATTACATTAATAGCGCTGATGCTTTCTTTTAAAATTAGTGGTTATAGTAAATTTGTAGTTTGTAAAAATAGTAGCAGAGATCGATAGTTCAAAAGGTATTAATAGACTTAGATATTTCTCTTGTAAAGAACAGAACTCGAAGTTCCAACAATTTGACAATAAATAAAGAGTAAATCGTGTCTTCATACACGAACAACTCGAATACTTTATTGAATAAATTACAGTCCCTTAAAGAGTGATCGTGTCTTCATACACGGATCGCTTGAATAAATTATAACTTGGTTATAGTGTCTTCATACACGT